CTGAGCACCACGGTGCAAAAAAAAAAAAAAAAAAAAAAAAAAAAAAAAAAAAAAAAAAAAGGGAAAGTAATCACCACCTCCTTCCACGATGATTACTACGGTTTTGAAACAGAAATAGTCCAAACTTTTCAGTAACGGATATGACTCTCCCTTGCACCAGCATCCGTGCTACACAGAGGCAGGTTTTACCCAGAATTCAATGCTTCAGGACCTCCGGCTGCCACAGTGATGTGCGATCAGGAAGCAGGAGGTCAGTCCCGATACCCACACTTAAGGAGCATCCGAGCAGGAGCCATGAATGTAGTTTCCATCGCTGTGCAGGTGCATTTTTTGTAATGGCCACCAGGGGGCGAGTCCTGTGGCTGTAACAAAAAAAAAACTTGCTTGGCTCTTGGCTCATTCTTCGGCGACCTCAGCAAACACCTTCCTGGTGACTGTTTGTGCTCAATCACCAGTGTCATGCCGTGGATCGCAATGTGATTCACATATGATGACCAGCTCATAACTAGCAGATTTTAATAAAATAGTGTTAAGTCTAACGGGTCAAAACATATCTGCAGGTTAGATTATAAGATGGAACCGCTGTTGTAGTTTATTTGATTTCTTTTGTGTTTAGAGACCAAAATTAACTATTTGGCTCCAACTGATATTTTGAGCTCTGGAGTGCTGCTTTATGTACCAACGGGCAGAAATGCAGCAGGTTTAACCAAAACTTGCAGCTCTTTCAATTGGTATTAAAGGCTGTATTATCCTCCATTCTCTCATAGCATTTGATTGATTGAAGGCTGTGTGTCACTGCAGGAGAGGTCCTGTCTGTCACGGTTCTGCTCGTAATTTAGTCACTACTTCTGGTTGATTCGTTTGTATTTGTGCAGCCATGGCCGTTTCAGCTTTACTCTCACAGTGTTAAGGCGACCTTTAGGGAATAATCTGCCTCTTTGTCAAAATGCACGAGAGCTCAGGGTGTCCTGACCTGTGAGGACGGCTGCCATTACAGAGACGTCACTGATCGCTACGGGTTTGTGTCTGGTAGAAAGGAGAGAGTGCTTTCTCCTTAAAAACTCTGCAGCTCTGCAGATTGTTAATTCTACAGCTCCTCTGATAATAGACAGAATAATTCATCATCCTATTCACACATCCTGGTTTTACTCATTTCATAATTCACTCATTTGTCTAAAATCATGAAGCTAAAGCTGCATTTAAGAGAAAAGTTGAGAGGCTTAATAAATCCCACAATTCATCACGCTCAGCTTTTAGGTTCACAGACACGATTGTAATGGCACTGGTTTACTAATTTATAACAAGGCTAAACACCCTGTGACCCTTTCATTGTAATAAACACTCTTCTTACTTAAACTCCGAATGAGATAAGAAAATTTTACTTAGTGCCTTCATCCCTTCCTGGATGCGTTCGCTATCTGAGGACAAACTGCACAATATTGGCCGCCTGACACTCGTTGCGTGGCAGCTTCTCAGAGGCAGCAAAAGTGTGGGTATCAGGACGGACACAGTGTGATCTGTGGAGACATCCTGACTGAGGTGACAGGTGATCCTATTCAGAGCTTCCTCAGACCGTGGGTGGATGCATAGGTTTGGCTTGAGGAATGCTACCCTGCCGGGCACGGCACAGTTTTCGGGCTCTTTTGAAGTGCAAACGGCCGAAGGGAGATGATGTCAAAAAACAAGAAGAAGAAGAAGTTTGGAGGTGAGAAGGGGTGCAGGTTGGTGGGATGTCTGAAGTTCCTAAGAGATGATCTCCAGGATGTAGAAGATCAGCTCCATGACCACCGGGCCCTCGCTCAGTTGACACGCCCCGCCGTGAATGACGGGGATCAGAGCGCTGTCCAGGTCGCTCAGGTACTGAGGCAGGAGAGGCTGGCCGTTGCTTCCGACCAGATAACCCACCTGCGGAGAATGAAAGAGTGAAGTCATACCAAAGATCTAGTGTAAACTGGCACATCGGGCAGATTTCTGATGGTTTTCTGCAGATTTATGAAGAGTTTGAAAAATAATGTGGACTGTGGCAGGGTTCAGTCTTTAGAAGGATTCGTTCCGTTGTTGATGCAAAGGTCTGTTTACACATCAGGGTCTACATCTATAAAACAAACCTTCTCAGAGTCCTACCTGGTCAGAGTCCAGAGTGACCCTCAGTCCCAGTTTGGCCATGCCGTCCTCCTTCAGCAGCTTCAGGTGTGGACACAGAGCCATACAGAACGCTCTCGCCACGTTCTCCGTGAGGCGGCTGTGGTCGGCCGGGTCGCTCAGGACACTGGTTTGGTCTTCGCTCTGGAGGAAGAACACCTGAGAGCAGCACAGAAAAACAACTTTATAATAAGACCTGCAGACTTGAAAACAGATACATATATTTTTGGGGTTGTTTGTAATATGTGATAATGAGGAGATTAGGTTAGAACAGCAGAGGAAGGTGACTCAGACTTTTTGAGATAAACTGACCTCTTTTTTTTTTTTTTCCAACCTCCTGAGCACAAAAACAGGGTCTTAAAGCTGCACTCAACTTTTTCTCTAAATAAAACAATCCTTGAACTTGTATTAACACAATATGTTAAATCCTCTCATCTTCCTACTGTATATGAGGAGAAATTATCATGGCGTGCTGGCGTGTGTCATCAGAGTTTACTTTAGCCTGAGTTAATGGAGCTGCAGCCTCGCGGGATGAAGGTTAAAACAGTTTAAGCTGTCTGTCCTGAGAGGCTTCAGTGGTGGCCTGATTTCCTCACTGGCGCTCGGTAAAATGAGCAGACTGTACCTCGGTCCAGCGGATGACTTTGCCGTTTGCTCTGAACTCGGAGCCGTGGAAGATCTTGACACTGGGTATGGACTCCATGGACTTCCCGTCGATTGGGCTGATGACGCTGAACAAACACACAAAAGACAACTTACAAATGAAGCGCGCAAGTAAGCAAAAGCTGATTCTTTGTGGGAGACCCAAATTAACCGCTTCTGCAGCATCTGAGCCCTTTGCCCTTGAGCAAAGCGCTGACCTGCCAGCTGCTCGGCTGGAGCAGCAAAAGCACCAACATCAAAGCATCAAGTAGAGGCCGAAGCCAGCTCATTTTTTTTTGCTGGTTTGTTTTTGATTTTTAAAATTGCAGGGTTTTTTGCCCTCTGTGTGAGCGAACACCAGTTTGTTTTTTAACGGTTCCTGGGCAAATGCTAAACGAGACCTCGCTGCCTTGCATCATTAAGTTATTCCACTGTGTGGACACCTTTAAAGGTCATGCTGCTCTAAACGCTCCATTTAAGACTGTTTTTCCTCAGTTGGTACTGAGGTGCCTTGAACTTTGAACCCTGGTTGGGCTCCTTCTGTGTGGAGTTTGCACTGGTTCCTTCTGGGTATTCTAGCTTAGGCTGTGCGATATGACCAAAATCTCATATCCCGATATAAGAATTCTATCGTCCCGATAACAATATAAATCACATAAATGTAACATTTTCTGTAAATTATGTGAATCTCAGGCAGCTCAACTTGCGGGAAGTCTTTCCAGCTGGAGTCGAGTGTTTTAACCGATGCATGAAACGATACATTTTTAGACATAAGTTGTAACGGCCGCCGTTTTCTTTGTGAGTATTTATTACACGGCGTGCTGCGGGGAAAAGCCTGTTCTAATGTTTGAGTCTAAGGTTTATTTTTTAGCACCTGGCGGCTCTTTTTTACTTCTCATCCGTAATTAATCTGCTCTTTCACGTGATTCAGTTTATTTTGAAAAGTCTCAACAGGATCTTGAGCTTTATTGTGAAAGGTTTATGTGGAACATAAACAAGCGGACAGGCGATGGTGTTACCGTTGTTGTTGCTAAGGACAACGCATAAAAACAGGCGCTTGTCCGTCCGTAGTGTGGTTATATTAAATATAAGAGAAAGAGAGAACTTTAAGAAATTAATATAGCCACTACAGTGACCATCAAAACGATGAAAAAAATATTGCCGTAAACAGTTTATTTTGCGACACCACGAAACAAACGATAGCTTAAAATGAAACGATAGACGTTTTTATATCGTCATCCGATATATATCGTTATATCGAACAGCCCTATTCCAGCTTCCTCTCACAGTCCAAAGAAACACATGTTAGGTTATCTGTTAACTGTAAACGGCCCTGAGTGAAAGGCTTTAACTGTATAAAATTAAGTGTCGAACGAATGTGTAGTTAAATGGTCATCTTAGCCATACAGCCCACCTGCTGCTCAGATCATCTGTTTGTGAGGGGCAGCCAATCAGAAAAAAAAAAAAGCTGTCTTAGAGGGAGATAAGCTAAAACAGCTCGTTTCAGTCACTGGATCAATGCTGGATCAGGTGACCCTGAACTATTCCTTAATTATGCAGCAATAGGCTTCTGGTGGGCTGTTCTATTTTATGAATAAACATGAAAGAAAAGAGCGCAATATACATTGTAGACCAACTCTGATTGTGTGACAGTGGCTGAGGGTTAAAACAGCTTCTGTGCAGTGAAAATATCCTCTTAATGAAGTCATATCGTATCTGGTGACAGGCCTGAATTAGACTGAACAGTGAAGAGTCGCTTTTAAATGAGCAGATTTTATCATCCTGCTCTAAAATTGATTGCAGCGGTCCGGATCTCACAGCCGTGTCAGACTGCATCATTCCACCCTGCTAAGATTCTCCCTCACAGGGCTTCCCCCGGCGTGCATAATGACTTTTTATAGCAAAGTAGTAAATGCAGCGCCCGGGAAGCTATCAGTTCAATTGTCCGTGACATAAATGCATCTCTTCCAGCTCCCCTTCCCCTCCTGACTTCCCTCCCCCCTCCACCCCATCTCACCCTTTGTTGAAATTGTGATCATCCTCCGTCCACTGGATGTGGACGACCTCCTGGTTCTCCTCCTGGTCAGCTTTACCGCACGTGATGGTGAAGTCTTTCATGTCCCTCAGGGCTTGACGTAGAGAGTCCATCGTCTCAGCTGTGATCTGAATCATGACGCCATCTATAGGAGGAAAAAAGCTGCTCAGTTGCTTTACTCAGTACTGAGGATCATGATTATTTACTTTATTTATTTATTTTAACTTTAGTGACAATTCTTTGACTAATTTCAACATTCCTGCAGCCAACGTGTAGCTTTGCTGACGCTGTTCTCACCTTCCACGATGCTGGTCTTGGCTAAGAAGCCAGACGAGGCTTTCAAAGCACCACTGAACACAAAGAAGCAGGCTCCAGTAACTGAAACAAACAAAGAGATAAAGTAAGAGGCTGAGCTACTTTCAGGCAAACAGATGAGACAAACAGTCAGGGGGAGGATATTCAGGCATCGCAGCCTTCCAGACGAGCCGCAGATAAAGGAGGTCTCAAGTGTGACGGTCGAGCCGGTTTCTGAGTCGGCACCTTTGCGCGGCTGGTGATGGATGCTGATGGCCTGCGTCTGATAGTTCCCGTCATCGTTCTGGACGCACACCAAGTGGGAGTCGGCCCGGTCGTTGAAACACGCCCCCATGGCCAGCACGTGTTCGTTGGACTTGTTCATGGCCTTCATCAGCTGCAAGGACAAATAATATGCATGACTAATTAAGTAGCCCTTTGTGCGTGCGTGGAGCAGAGAGGCTGCCTGGTTAAGCCTAATTGCAGTGGGCTTGTGGGTAAAGTCCTCAGTTTAAACGGGACGGCGCTGACAGACTGTGGGAAAAGGACACGTCACGGGTGGATATCAACAGCCGAAAGATCTCCCATATTAATTCTGCTAACTCTCCTGCCTCTGCCTCTCTTTGAAGCCGTCCTTTGAAAATGTAGAAATAAAACTGAAAATCTGGAGGGTTTTAACCACTCGCTGCGCTAAAAAAGCTCGACTGCAAGCTGTTGAGCAACAGTGCCCGCTCCACATTACTGGGTTCCCATCTGTCACCGCATCGACAGCCAAACGCTACAACCGGCACCGCACTCTCCGCCGCGGCTTTATTTCTCACCCAAACGCGTATCACTTCTTCTGGTACGCCGTTCATTCACACCCTCGAGGCAGCAGCGTTATAACACGTGGGCAGCCCACACCTCATGTTCAGCTGCAGGGACTCCAGAGAGTTTGTCACGCAGCACCTACACACAGTCAGCCTCATTCACTGATGTCATTAGTCTGATGGAGGGAGTCTGCATGTTGGAAGATTGAAAAATGATGCCTGATCCTGAAAATAATGCTTAAATATGAATTATATAAGAGGAAAATCTGCTTTCCTTCATTTTCTGGAATTTGTTTTTAATGTTTAATGCGAGGATTTTACTTTCTATTCATTTTATAAAGACAAACACTCAAAAAACAGAGATCCATCACAGAGGTGGAGTGCAAGCCAGAGTTATAACATTCTTTTATAATTTCTGTAATTTTATTTCATTTTGTAATTCTTATTTAATTTCTGTTTATTTTAATTTCATTCAGCTTCCTAAGTAGGTTTTGCTTGTTTAAGTTTGGATTGTATTACTTTCACCACCAACTTTAGTCTTTTTATTCATTATAATTTGGATGGTGTTTATCAGGATATAACGAGTTCAGAACAGGTGAACAAATCCCAGTTTTAAATAAAAACACATGCACTAAATCTTTCATGCTGATTAAAGAAATGTGACCACACTGAGAAAGACTGAAACTAAAGACTCCATATAGCAAATGTATACAGGCAGCTGTGAGTCCATCTGACTGACTGTCAGAGATTACACAAAAACTACGCAACCAAACTTTATGCAACTTAGAGGAGAGGCAGTGAATGTTTCCAATAAAATCTCAGGACATGTCCTGAATATAATGTTGATTTCTAGCTGTGGTAAATCAAACATCAATCGTAGGTGGATCAAAGAATTATGACCAAGGCGACTACAGGTATGAGACCTTTGAAATGTGACTTTCAATGTAATTAAACACCAGGCTTGTGATTCGCTCAGTTCTAAATGAATAGCGTTAAAACGTTTATATTATTAAGAAGAAAGTATCCCAAGTAAGAAAAATACCCAAACAACGTCCCCTGTTCCTGAGTTTGAAGCACTGCTGAAACACAGCAAAGGTTTCAGGTCATTAACTTTAAATGTATAGATGTAATTTTTACACCATTAATCTTCTCACATGCAGAGACTAACACGCTGGATGGCCAGAGGAACCTTTTTCTCGTTTATCACCTTTAGGGTTTCTCTCTATGAAAGTTTGTTTCTGCCAGTAAATAAATAAATAAATAAATAGCAGGTCAAAATTTCTGCTGGCAGAAACAGGCTTCCACATTCCTCAGTGTATTCTAACTGTGAAGTTAGCTAATGCATCTCACCAGCCTGCTGTTAACGGTGATGGTTTTTAAATGTATGCATGCACCATGTAAGGGACAGACAGAGATTTGGTGAAGAAGAGCATTGTGGTTGCATTGCATGATTGAAGTGTGTAGAATGAGTGAAAAAGCAGCACTATGAAGTTGAAATCTTTATCATTTTCTCTATCATTATTTTCTGAAAATAAATACAACCGGATGGGCGCTCACCTCATTGTAGCGATTGCTGGGGATCTTGATGCTCGTCTTCCTCACCTCCATGTCCACAACCAGACCTTTGACCACCGGCAGCGTGTACTGGTAGTTACGGAAGTCCTGGGACAGTGGAAAAGAAAAAAAAAAAACAAAACATAAATGAACTGAAATGAAATGAACATCATAACAAACAAATCACTTGAATGGTTACATTCCTGTTTACATACCCAGCATATAGCGGGGGGCTCTTTAACCTTTAAAATAATTAAAAAGTGAGCTCAGGAAGAGAAAAACAAAGCACTTACCGCCAGCAGGTTCATGATGGTGTGACCGGTCTCTCCAAAGAGCGGTTTTCTGAAGCGAACGCTGAACAGCGGGCACGGATAAACTGCAGAACACAATGATTACTGGTGATTACAGGAGAATCTTCCTCTTCCACAAATTTGGTTTCATGGACTTATATTTTTGCTATTTTCAAAACAATTTCACAGCTGATTTCATTACACAATCCCCTAAAAAGTGAAAGAACTCAGAGGAGACAGAAGACAGAAATCCCTCTGGAGTTGTGTCAGAAATCTTGCGCAAAAAGCTGCCAAATCAAACACGTGGCTCCCCTGCTGTGACGACTCCTTATGAATTAGCAAGCAGCAGAAAATAGCTGCTTCTTTATTTCATTAGTGCTCCGGGGCTTTGTGGTCTGTAGGTTTTTTTCCAGGTATTTCAATGTTACACAACTTCTTTTTTCCTCCTCTTCATCCATAAATGCAAATGAGCAGAACAAGAGACCCCACGCATCACACACAGTGAACTCCTAATCCACAAGTGAAAAAATAAATAAATAAAAAATACGGCAGCTGCTTATTTCCTTCAGCAACTAAAGCTTCTTAGATGACTATTTTTAGCCTTATCACTGCAAACAGCCGGGGAAAAAGAGATCTCAGTATAAACTCTCATTAGCAAAGAAAGAAATAAAGCTCAGCCTCAATCTGCACTTCGTGCTGACGAGTCTCTCGGCCTTCTGCTGGTCAGCGCCGGAGGTAAGAGGTGAGAGCGTGGAGAAGAGCGCCGTTTGTGTGGTGGGCTGATTTCATGGCTGCGCAACTGTTTTGTGTTTAAGAGCTTCGACTGTGTGCGGCTTTGTTAATGTATTCTATCCGTGCTCGCTGGATGCAGACAAGGCGCTTCACAGAGCCGAGCCGGCGGTGCTCGGCACTGGCAGGTCTGGCTGTGAGAGAAGAAGATTTGGTGAAAGCAGCGTTGCCGTTAAATCCTTCCTTCATGTGGGAAGCCATGATATGAAGTCAGCTGACATACTAAGTTCTCTAGATCTTAATATTTTACCATAAAGACCCAACAGACCATTACAGGATACTCACACACTTAACGTTCCCAGGGACCTCAGTGCTGTCTAAGCTTGAAATAGGAGCAACGTTTTTTGGAGTAACCTCAGCTCATTTTAACTCAATCCTACAAACATGTGCTGCGTCTCCACTTCACTTCAGTCCACAATTTAAATTTCTGAAGCCTCTACCTCCTAAAACAGACTCCTTCCTTCCCACCATAGCAAAGTTCTGCGCTTACAGGGATCATCTTTCTCTCTATATTATAAAGCACCTCGAGGTGACTGTGGTTGTGAAGTACAGCAAAAAAAACAAACATAACTGAAGTGATGTACCCAGCAACACTACAAAATGAATTCATACCAGATTAAATCACTCTGGGACTGATTGCAACCTACATCAGAAACATGACATCATCGCAACTGTGTGCAGAAATGTCTGTTAAACAGGAAGTAATATGAGCAATTCACTTTTCCCTGGCAACCGGGTGTTGTATGTGTTGCTAAGGCCGATTGAGAAACTCCAATAGGGAAACAGGTGTATTATTAAGAAACTAGTGAAGATGTTTGAGAGAAGTCAAGAAAAAATGTTATGCCTTGGAAAATTAAAACAATAGTGTTTTATTTGCCTTTAGTTAACAAAAAAGCATTTAAGTCACCTCAGTGATTTTAAGAGATTTATAAGTTCACAGCACATTAGCCTGTGTGGCTTGGATCTAATAAAGTTCGGTAAAAAGTTTGATGTGTGTTGACTGCACGTTGATGATACCTGCTGAGTTGAAGTGCGGCTGCCATTATTCTCCTGGGATGGTTCAAGACAACAGCTGGAGAACGCATCCTTACAAACAAGCTCCTGCTGCCGAAACAGCCCAATTTTCTTCTTCTAACAAACTTTTTGTTTTGAATCTTTTGCTTCTATATATTCAGTTTGTTTTTGCATTAATTGTCAAGGTATTTGGTTGGTTAGTGACCAGATGTGGCAGCAGGGGTCATATTGTGACACAGCCCTCCTTAGTTTCTGGCTACACTTTGAGCCTCACTCACTGTGCCACACAGGACCAGTGTTTGGAGGAAAAGCCATAGATATGTCCACCGTTCTTTCACGTCAGACACCGAAGACGCCCGCACCTTTATCATATGTGCATATGAATCATCTGAGGAAGTCTGTCCACACCGTAAAGAAAAAAAAAATCTGGTAAAAATAGTGACGAACAGGTTTTGTGGGTAAAACAAATGTGCACAAAGTGTAAGGGCAGATTTGTAAATCACATCCAACATCTGGGATTGTTTTGTCTGTGCTTTTAAACTGCTCAGCTTCATTTTCTTTGCATATCAAACTAAATGGGAACTTCAGCTCTTTAGCAACATGTCTGAGTGCCATTAAAGCAACATAATCACATCATTATTACTTCTTAATCATCGTGACGGCACAGTACGGAGCCTCGTATTCTTCTCAACTCACATCGGTACTCTGCTCCCAGCCGCAGCATGAGGCGGATGGGGAAGACCTTGGCCCAGGGCGTCTCCCATTTCTGGATGAGGATCCCGAAGAGGTAGGGCGGGTTGGGCAGGAGCAGGTCCTGCAACGACTGGAAGGAAGGGCTGATGTAAAGGAAGCCGCCATGCTCCTTGCTGCCCAGGAAGCTCTGCGTGAAGAACGAGTGACTCAGGTGGCTCAGCACGTTACCTTAAAAGAAGCAGAAGAAAAATAAGGGGAATGAGAGTGGTTAGTGATATAAGAGATGGAAGGAGGTGGAAGAGGAGGGGTTGATTGAATTAGAGAGGAAAAGCACAGCAGGGAGGAAAGAGAAAATAGAGGAGTAATGCAAGAGGAATTTGGGAGCAATGTAATAAAAAGCAGGGAATGCAAAAAGCAGGAAATTGAAAAAGATGAAGAGGAAGAAAAAAAATAAAGTAAGAAAATGAGCACAAATGAAAAGCTAAGAAGGGAAGAGCTTTGGTCCTGAGAAGAGGAGACAGATATGAAAGGCTCAGGGATTACTCAGTGTGGCTAAGCAGCCTTGTTTAGTCTGCATTAAGTTCTACACCAAAGGCTCGCCTGCTCACTCTACAACTTAATTTTACCCATAAAAGGGTTCATGTCTCTAATTATCTGTGGGATAGATCCACGCCTTTAAATGGCACATAACATAATAATCCTAATGGCAGGAAAAAGCTCAGCAGTTAGGACTTGCTAAAGCCAGCACTTCTTCTCGAGGCCTGACGGACGCCGACGTAATCGAGACAGACACAAACAATATGGCTCCCATCCACAAACTTGAAACTGCTCCAGTGTGAATATGAAAAAGGAAACAGCCTGAGGGTAGCGAGCCGTCAAAGTCAGCTGATATTAGCAGTTTTTGCTTTGCAGCATACGGAGGTTAAAAAAAGAAAA